GGGTCATTATCAGTAAATTCGCAGCGACGAAAACGTGGAATATAATTTATGAATGTTAATCTTTGCAAGTGACTGGCGTGAATACGACTGAAATACGACCTGCTTGAAGCAACGAGCAAGCGTACCTCCAAAAAGGCTAAATATGCATACCATGTGATATATCATACTTTGGGAACCCTTTTAATTTCCATTCGTAGTGGCCTTTCAACCGATAGCGTTCAGTTTCAGAGTTTCGCCAACTTCAGTTTCATCGCATTGGCATTCCAGCGCCGCGTAAACGACACGACCAGGAAAAAATCATCTGCACCTCACATCTGATTTGCCAATTGCTGGACGATCAGAAAGAAAATACATCCAACCTTGAAGACCCTTTGACAGTGACAAATACTATAAAAAGGGTCATCTCTGTATACTGAGGCACTGACGACCAAATGTGAATCTTTGAGTATCTACTGAAATTAAGCCTTTAGCCAAGTGACCGCAAACGAGTAGCAGTAACAAATGAACATTTATACTACGTACTGTCAACATTAAATTCCGATATAGAACATAATGAATAGGTAGCATGGGTAACATGGGTATCAGCAGATTATTCGTTCAATGACAAACCATGATATCGGTGATTAAGCAATATCGAGGTTTCGTTCTGTATATGGCGAACTATGTCATGAACCTTCTTCAGGGTAAGGTAAGTAGTCAACTTTACTGGTCATTTTCGTAAGTAGATGATGCCGGATGGTATAGTTATACGTAACATAAGTCATGCATTCGACAATTGCATACTTCCATGCACCACTTCACATCGACGTCCGTCAAAAGACGATGGCTACTGCCGCTTTGGGAAAAGTCCGAAAGTTCCTTTATCACTCCGTTGGTCACCGCGAGACGAGTTTCCGTACTGAAGATTTCCAGCACGTAGCGGGAATATATCTTCAATTCTTCCTCGACCCAATCCTCGTACATAGCGTCTGAAACACTTATAGATTTTTTGGAAGCAAAGCCATAATAAAGTAAACAGTTCAAGAATACAAAACCAGATCAGTGTCACTACAACACTCATCACTGTAGTTAACTTCGCCGTTCCTTTTTAAATAACCTAAGATACGTTAGATTTGCTCGTTAGATACGCCGTTTGCTGTTTTTGTACTAATGTTGTAACTGCTACCGGTGCTGTTGCTACTACTATCAAAACTGCTACTGGTACGAAAAATACTGCTACCAGCTTCTGTTAACCCATTAACATAATGAATAACAAGGCCACTGCTGCTAATACGACAATAAATACTGATATCAGTACTACTACAATTACTGGATACACTACTGTTACCGCAATCCCAGTTCTAATGCTATCCGTAGCAACACCCTACCCCTACTATTCTTACCGCAACTAGCACTATCACTATCCGTTTCCATCACTACTACTCGCACATCACTAATCAGGTCAGTTTGGAGTATCAGCTAGCTTAACAAGCACTGTTATCAGCATAAAAACTCTTTATACCACACTGCTCAAAAATCGTACATAACCATGAAATATATACACTGCTGATATCCTCATGATGTAGGGACAATAAAAATAAGGTGCGCTGAAACTTCCGGTGTAACGGAGGACAATCCTCAGCGAGCGTGGCGACAGGCTACTATTGCAAGTCTCGCACTGAAGCCCGAAATTTCCTGAACAGAGATTCAGAAAATCCTGGCGACTGAAATTACGGCTGAACATAGTGATCTGAATTTAGCCTTCAATACCAATGGGCGGGAGCAACCGATCAGCGGAAGTATGCATGTGAAATCGAAGAGGTGTCCCTATTCAGTTGGCGGTGATGCATACAGCCTGATAATCCTCACAGAAAGTAAGAGTCACCAGGAACCTCTGCGAATACTGAGATCATGTGATCAGAGCAGTGCAGTCTATTGTTTCGCACGTCCCCAAATATTTTGTAGTGTCGCAAGCCGGGATTTACTCTTCTTCTAAGTTGAAATGATACTCGATGATGGACAGTATACTGAATGACATGTTCTACATCCAACAGGTTAGTTGAGTTAGTGGTGGTTTTGGTGGTCTTGACGATGAATTCTTAAACTACTGTTCTTGATCGATTTCAACGTGTCTGCAACTACATTTTGCAGGCTACCTGTTATTGTTATACTATCATTAACCATTATCATTATAATGTCATTCATATTACAATCATAACTAACATGGTAATACTGGCATCACAGATAGTACTGTCATAACAATTAACGCTCTCATCAGTGTATAAAAAAAGCTTCCTTTACAATCAGAAAAGTTTTCATTCACAGCAGGAAACGACGAAAATAGAACACAGAGGAAATGAGTTTGTTGAAATATATATCACCGTTTGCACATAACTTCCATGTAATACACCGTCGCGTCACTGACGTATAAAAAAATATTAGCTTAGACTCATTAATATGCAGAGCGCTTATCTGCCATCCTCAACCAACTACATGATGCAGCGCTACAAGGCCAGAAACGAAAAAATGGTCCGTTCAACTGCTAAACATTAATAAAGTAGTTTCACCTAAAAATTATCAGCCTTTTCGTAGTCAGAGAAGCAAGATATGGGGGGGGGGCATCACTCATCCACATCGCGATCCTGAGGATAGCGATGTCCCTGATCTCAGTGCCCTAGTGAGTTTCTCCACACATTGCGATCCTTTATTTAACTTTCGTCGTCATTTTAGGCCGTCAACCACTGAACCGATAAGATTACTATTTTTTCGTCGAAAAACTTTCAGACCAGAACATAAGGAGATAACGGCACTTGCAGTAAGAAGTATTACTGAAAATTCCCTTCTCCACCATGCAACTAGGATCATTCTTTGAGACGACGAAGATAATTCTAGCAAAGTAACATCGTCTACACGTAAACAACTCCTTACCTACGCTACTACGCTATTGTTACCGACGTAGACAGATACAGGAGCACATGACCAACTACCTACATAGGCAGCAGCAATTCAGGGTCTTGCTCGAACACGAGCCCGCAATCAACCGAAACTCCTACTCTGCTAAAAAGAACAAGCTATGCATCAACAGGTGAAACATAATTTTGTCCATATAGATGTTAGCAGCTTTTTCGATTGATAAATAAAGTTATTTGTTTAGGCTTAAAGACAATGGCTTTACCACAAGAAACCAAGCTCCTCATTTTTGCTGTAGGGAGTCAATACGGCGGGCAAAACAACTACGTAAAAAAGTCTATAGAAAAGTTCGAGGAGCTTACAACTACAAACTTGACGCACTGCGCGCAATCTAGAGTGTGAAACGGTACCTTATAATTGAAATTTCAAAACTCAAATTACGTTCCACTGCAATCTCATAACCTCCGACAATAACTTTTACAATTCTTTTCTCGGAAGGATGGTTTAAAAATTTGGGTCTACAGACATTGTTTCAGTTGTAGAGTACGTCTGCAGGTTTTGTTAATCTAAAACAGGTCAACAATGAATCTTAAACGTACCACCGCTTGTCAAGATCAAGGAGAGAGCATGGGAATGGTTGACGCTTTTATTTGCTCATTAAAAACATTTAAGAGAAACTTTGCCTTTAATTTTAAATTAAAACACAAAAATACTTCATGGAGATGAAGACAAAAATACTATTGCCATTAGTATTTAGTTAGCTTCATTCGAATATAGGAAGAACCCAAAAATTAACATATTCAGAGCAAGATGCGCAACGATTTGGCATTTTATAATGGCAAGCCGCCTGTGCATTTCGCCAAATCTGTAGCATCTATCATCTCATTGGATGACTACTTTTCTTTCGATTCGGGAATCGAGTCTGTATCTGACACATTTTCCAATTTCATCTTCATCTTCATTTTCCATCGCCTCTTCTCCTTTGGGGTCGCAGATGTAGGCACGTCAGACAGAGCTTCCAAAGTTCTCGATCTTGCGCCAGTGTCTGAGCTTCGGCAAAAAACAAATGGAGTCTGGAACAGACTCCTTCCATACCTTTCCACAAGGTTAATCTCAGCCGTCCCCTAGGCCTTGTACGGATGAATTTGCTAGGAGCAGTTACTTAGCCTTCCTTTCTGGAGGCATTCGCAACACATGCCCAAGCCATCGCAACTGTGATTTCTCAATCTGGAGAAGCAAAGGCTCTATACCAAGGTTTTTCCGGATGTCATTATTCCTGACCATGTCGAGACGCATAAGGCTAGCGACTAGCCTCAGCAAGCCCATTTCAGCAGCTTGTACCCGGGTTCGAAGTTTTTCAGCGATTATCCACGATTCATGACCGTAGGTAAGCACGGGGATAAATATCGACTTGAATATCGAGAGCTTAGTTTTCAGACTGAGCCCTGCTTTAGTTACAACGAGTCGAACTAGTTCAAGCAGAACGCCACCGGCCACTCCCATTTGCCGGTCGATCTCTTCCTCCAATTTTCCATCACTAGTAAATACAGTTCCACGGTATCTGAACTTCTCCACCTGCTCGACTGCCTCTACGTTAATTTGAAAGAGTAATGGACAGGAGAAAGAGAAAGCACTATACTATTCGTCTTAGATGCCTTCACACGCATGACGGCCACGTCGCACTCGGTTGCGAACTTTTCTAAGGACCACTGGAGATCAGTTTCAGGAGATGCTAATAAAGCAAAGCCGTCTGCAAACAGCAATCTTCTAGACTTCACATCTCCTATAGCGAAACCATCATCGCCTTGGCAGCTGCTGACTATTGTGTCCATGTACAACACAAACAAGATAGGGGACAGGATGCAGCCTTGGCGGAGACCAGTGCGAACGTTGAATGGTTTTGACTTAACGCCATTAACTGCGACACAGCACCTGCTATCAGAATACAGTGACTGGATGGCCCTTAGCAGCTGGCCATCAATCCCTTATGCCGAAGGTATGTCCACAGAGTGTTGGGTGGGATCCAGTCATACGCTTTCTCTCGGTCATTAAAACACATGTGTACGCTGGGCGCATTTCCACGATTTCTCAACAGTCCGGCGGAGGGCAAACATGTTGTCAGAGGTGCTTCGATCGGGCTGAAGCCACTCTGCACTTCTTGGATCTTGAGGTCAACTATTTCACGGTATCTCCTTTTTGACACCTCTGCGTAGACTTTACCTAGGAGGCTCAATAACGTTATGCACCTAGAATTGGAGCATTCCTTGTGGTCTGCCTTCTTGAATAAGGGCACAATCACTCCCGTTCTCCAGTCCGCTGGTGTGTTTTCCGCGGTCACCATAGTTTGACAAACACGTGTTAACCAGCACATGCCTTGTCCGTCTGATGTCTTGAGCATCTCAGGGCGGATTTCGTCAATTCCAGCAGCTTTTCCATTTTTCAAATTTTTCACATCTTGTGGAATTTCTTCTACAGAGATAGAAATATCCGTACACTTCTGCTCCACAGGCGAGTCTTCGTGCTGTTGCGCGAGGTTAAGGAGTTCCTCAAAGTACTCCCCGCATCGCCGAAGAATGTCATCATCCTTGGTAAGAGGGTGTCCAGATGTGCCCTTCAAGATTCTGAGACTGCCCGTCTCTTCACCTCGGAGCCGGCGGATGGTCTGCCAGAATACTTTGTTTGCCGTTATGGAAATTCGGCAAATTAAATTTTCCAATTTTATGGCATAAAGATGAGGTTGCATTTGCATTTGGTCGTCAGTTAAGCACCGATGCATAGCCTTAATGCTTGATCGAATATTCGCTAATGTCAGGCTTAGTTTTGTATTTATTCATGTTCCACTGAAACCGTCAATGAAATATCTTTAAGTAACTTAAGTGAAGTATATGATGGGAGAACGCACTGGTTTTCAATAAAATTTTAAAAATGTTTTATGAACTAATTACGTCTTTATGCATATCATCAATCAATTGTGAAAATGAATGAAGAAGAATTGTGGAATGCGCCTGTCTTTTCCGTGTGAAGCTAAGATGCTCCGCATATTAGCAAAGTTTGTTTACAAAAAAAATACCGGG